TTAGAAAAAATTAAAATAAAAAACGTTTTCGGTTTCGGTCTGACAATTTTTTTTTTATTTCGGCTTCGTTTCGGTTTTGAAATTTCCATTTCGGTCCACCTCTAGTATACATCTGTTTATTAGAATATCAGTAATAAATATGCTGTTGCATCTCCAGCACATATAATCTCTATGTTTGCACATTTTTTTATGTACTGTTACATTTAATAATGCAAATAACATTTATAGCCCAGTTAAACTTTCAGTTTACATCTACCGAATGCATTCCAGGTGCATCAAAACAAAAGGTGATCAATATCTTCGATTTTTTTAAAGCAGCTACAGCCTGAGTAGAAAGGCCTGTCCTTTCCCAGCAGGGTGTAGAGTGGAATCCTTGCTCTCTGTGGGGAAGCAGTGATCTCTTTGCAGAGGTCATACATCATTCTGGCAGTACACCGGCATTAGAAAGAAGCAAACTGTAAGCCATTAAACACCTTTTGTTTTGATGTCCCTGGAATGTATTTAGCTGATTGACCTGGAGCTTTAATTGGACTTCTAAGGAAAGTTTAGGAGATTATTGGAACAGAAGATATTTAATAAGAAAAATGTCTTAGCAGCATTTTCCAACATACAGCTGACTTTCTGCCCAGGACCCCTTAGAAGAACACTACTAAAACATTCTGATGCCTCCATTCCCTTTGGATGTTGAAACTTTTAGATGCAGTACATAAGTGTGAAGGCAATTTTTTCTACCCCTTCAGGTCTAACTTTTCTGGCAACCTCCCCGAGAGGGGGTTATCCAGAGTTAAGACTTGTGTCTTCTTTTTTCCCTATCCAAACAACAAACTAGCCTAAAACAATTCTGTCAAAAAGATAAAAAAGGAAAAGGTGCCATTAAGTTGCAGGTGGCTAGAGTCTCCAAATCCTCCCTGATATAGCTGAATCTTATTCTGATAGGCAAAGTTTCAACACTTCCTTTTAGTATAGAAGCTTGCCTATTACTTCGCCCATCCATCACATTCTTATTGGCCCATCACTGTGTAGACTGTGGGGTTAATTTACCAAAGGCAAATAGACTGTTCACTTAGTGAGGGAATTACACTTTGCAGGGGAAGTTTCCCTTTAGCTTCGTAAATGAGGTGAAGCTTCCATCACCCAATCATGTGCAAGCATACATACTGTTTTTTTTTTATTTTCTTGCACATGATTGAGTATTCTTTGCAAAGTGAAATGTCACCACATTAATCAAGCTAAGGGAAAGTTACCCTGTAAAGTGCAAATCCCCATGTAAAGTGAACAACCATTTGCCATTAGTAAATCAACTCCTGTGTCGCTGGTCAGTAGGACAAGCAAGCTTTGACATTACCAAGAGGTGCTGGAGCATTGTCCTGTCAGTGCTTAAACATAGCTAACAGGACTTAGAGGTTGTTGCAGGTATGGGTACTTTATACACAACAGCGGTTTCTTTTTTTTTTTATCAAAGAGTATTTTTAGTCTGGTTATAATATTATTCAGACAAAATAACAAAAACCATACCTAAATTTGTAATGTGTTAACATTAATTTGTAGGGATGCATCGATATATCGGCCGCCGAAACATATCGGCCGAAAATTGCACTTTTGGCAAAATGCCGAAAGTGCCATTTTCTTGCCGATACAGTGGTGCATCCGTTCTTTCTCTCCTAACCGCTGGGCGCTGCTCTGTGTCCCAGCGGGGACAAGAGAAACTGTCACAGGCAGCCGAGTGCTGCAGGAGGAGAGCGATGTGAGCGGCTGGCGTCTCTCCTCCCTGCACCGCTCAGCCTCCTGTCACAGATTGGCAGAGTGGGGTGGGCGGAGAAAGCCAGCGCTGCCACAGGAGGCCGAGCTCCACTCGCTCAGCCTCCTGTGACAGGGAGTCAGGAAGGAAATGAGTGCAAACACTCAGCGATCAGTGATTGTTGAGTGTTTGTAAATAATTGAGGACAGTGTATTTTTACTGTGTCCTCAATTATGAATGAATAGGCAGTGGTCTATATCACCTCCTGTTCATTCATGATTGTGGTTGTCGTAAACATACTCTGTCCTCATGTTATGAATGAACAGGAACACTCAGTATAGAGGATTCCTGTTCATTTATAACAGGGGCTGCAGAAAAAGAGATTGAAAAGGAAAATATCAGGGGTCTGTTTAGACCCCTAATATTTCCCCAAAGCCACCAAAAGTAAAGTAAAAAATAAAAATATTTAATAAAAATTAATAAATAAATACAAATAAATATAAAAAAATTAAAAGGTTTATTAAAAATAAATAAAAATAAAATATGAAAAAAATGGAAAACGTTAAAATAAAAAACATTTTCGGTTTCGGCCTGGTATTTTTTTTCATTTCAGTTTCGTTTCGGTTTTGAAATTTTCATTTTGGTGCACCTCTATTAATTTGTCCTTTGTCAGAAAAATGTACTGTTATCCATTTAAAGAGTATGCTTTAATGGAAATGTGCATATGTGACATAGGTAATCTATATGCTTTAAAATGGTATACAGTATGTAAGCTAGTACTGTTTGTGCTGTTTATGCTTTCCAGCTTGTAAGCAGCCACTGCATTGCTTGCTTTATCAGTATTCTGTCAGTAGGGCATGGGTCCTATGTCACTATGACTCCCTTGCCCTTATATTTGTGTAACTGCCCACCCTACTAATGGAATATGAATACTCCTGCTGGCTAACCAGTGAAGATAGCACTTTTGGTCATAGATTAATTATTTATATACATTATACTGTTGTATAGCATGCATATTTTGTATGTTAGGCTTGCAGGTTTCTATAAAAGTAGTTACTCTTTAAGCTTTATATTTGTACATTGTGCATGAATATTTTGCAAACTTTTCTCCTGACTTCTCCCCACCTTTGATTATATGTTTTGTTGACAAGCATATTCTAGCATGACATTTTTTTTATTTTTCTGTTTAAGAGAAGAAACCTTTTGGCAAGTACTCTGATTACACTCCTTATGCCAGTCCCTGGCTTGCATCCAGTGTGATTGCTCAAGGGAGTGTCTTTTGTCAGAAACCTGATAGACTCACTTGCTCTAAAGCGTCTGATAACGGAACCCTTAGATCACTTTTGTGACAGGAAGATGAATTACTTGGGATGCTCTGAAAACTGGGATGAATGGGACAGAGGTTGAGCTTCCCAGCAGTGGCTGTCATAAAATCTGTGTTTTTATCAAGAGATGATTAATAGTGTCCCTCTAAAAGCCTTGTTTTGATGAATAGTGCCTGTCTCTATAAGGTTATCTGCTACGGTGTCACTGACAATGCCATGAACAGGTATGCTTGCTTCTGATTTGCTCTTCCTAATTAAATGTCACCCCTTCCTTTATGCCTCTCCTGTATCCTTTTGTTAAGGTCCACCATCTGCCCCAGATAATCCAATTTCTACTGTCAATGAAACATCCGTCATTATGGAGTGGAGTCCCCCTGAAGACTCAGGGGGCCGAATGGACATAACATATAACATACACTGCAGAAGGTGCCTATTGGAAGGACAAAAATGCAGCCCATGTGGAAGTGGCATCCATTATATTCCTAGACAGTTTGGACTGTCTCATCCTCGTGTCCTCATCACTGATCTGCTTCCATACACCAACTATACATTTGACATTGAGGCTTTGAATGGCGTTACTGAGCTGAGCTCTGGACCTAAACAATTTATCTCTATCAATATTACTACAAGTCAAGTAGGTAAGACCTTTTTCATTGCATTGCTTCCACTCTAATTACATAACTTTGGTGGACCTCAAAAAATGATTTCATCTTCACACAGAATCAGTAGTGTTCAAATACAAGTTTTGACAAACCCCAAGGCCTGTTGACCATTCTAAATGTTTAAAGCAAAAATTCATGCATACGATTGAGCACTACAGAGTTTCTGATACTATCCTTATTACCCAGAAAGCCTCTGTGTGCCCCACTAATTTACTTTTGTCACTAGAGATTTGACTTCCTTGACTGAAACTTCACCCACTTTCCTGTTCAATAAGAGCCCCCGTTATGGTCTTTAAAGCTCTTTTCGTTGACAAGGGTGTGACACCAGTGCCAATATTAGCCCCAACATCTTGAAAATAACTTGAAAATAATTCATAAAGGTAATTGCTAAGACTCTGTGATACCTAAACCAAGGCAGGGATTTTAGTTTAACATGCTCAAAATGGCCAGTAGGTTGACTTTTTAATGCATATATTATGTCATTATACTGTATTAAAGAAGTATTGTCCGTAAGTGTGAATGCGGATTCTATGAGCAGTGTGGGAAAGATAGAGATAATTGCAATGTACAGTTTATGTACAATTCTCAGTTTGGGGAGCTGTCTCCTAGAGCAACTTTGTACTTTCCCAAGCATTAGATCCAACCTGTTACTTTGTACAAAATTAACAAAACTACAAGTTTGCTTTAAGTCTCAAGAGTTTAGGATGATACCAAATTAAATGAATTGAACAGATTATAAATATAAAATGCTATCTAATGCTATCCCACAGAACGACTCTCCTTTTTTAAAGTATTTAACATGCACATAAAGTAAGAAAATATCAACACATATGGGTCTATTCAGTAAGCTGCCGAAGAATCTAGCCGTAGCTTTGGCCGATCCTTCGGCTAGCTTCGGCCCCAGGACCCCTTCGGTTCAGTAGAACCGAAGGGGTGCTGTACGGGCTATTCACTATAGCCCGTACAGCTCCCAAACGTGGCCGAGCGGCTCAGTCGAGCCGAACACATATGCTTCGGCTCGACTGAGCCGCACTGAAAGCCAAAGCTGGCCGAGCGGCCAGCCAGTGTTCGGCTCACTTAACTTCAGGTCGGTCATTCACTCGGCTGCCTACGGCAGCTTAGTGAGTAGACCTATGTATATATACCTTTATGAAATGTAATGAGCTTCATTGTAAAAGGCAGCAGCTTGTAATCACATAGTTTCACATTCTTCTCACAGTCAATGTCATCCTGAAAGAAAGAAAAAGTAAAGACAGCATCACATTGGCTTTCCAAGGGCCTGAAAAGACTACTGACACAGTGGTGGAATATGAAGTAATATATTATGAAAAGGTCAGTACTGGAAATAGCCACACATCATTTTTATATGGCATATCATGAGATGTATATATTCAGAATGTTAACCTTTATATAGTAAAGGGAACATCTTGGCACCTATGTTTGTTTTTCTTTCTGCTATTCAGTATAAAAAAAAGCAGGAGGAAGATGGGGCAGTGTCAGGAGCTGTGGCCACCAGAGTTGAACAGGATGGAGGCTAACATCCTTTTATCATGAATTAAAAATACCAATAAAAACAGTGCTATAAATAAAATAAATCCTATACAATTCATAAATAATAAATATAAATCATTATCCAAAACAATGATGATCAATCAGTAAAACAAATGTTCAGGGTATATATTTATGATACCTATACTTGTTAAACTGTGCACAAAAAACACATTGGTGCACATAAAAATATGTGATTTAAAGAAAAGGTAACTTTTTAAAATCTCATTAAAGTGTTTCAGAACAAACTTCATCCACAAAATGCAAGTTATTGTCACAGAGTGCAAGTTGTATCCAACACTATAGGGTCTATTCACTAAGCTGCCGTAGGCAGCCAAGTGAATGACCGACCTGAAGTGAAGTGAGCCGAACACTCTTTGGCTATTCACTTCAGGCTGGTACGCCTGATTTCAGCCGTATATCGTCTGAAATCAGCCGTACATCGGCTTGCTTCGCATGGCTTAGGGTCGGTCGAACATGCTCAGCATGTTCGGCCGACCCGAAGTGCAGAAGGAGTTCGACTCAGCCGATCCAACATCTGGATCAGCTGAGCCGAACCTCCGGCAGGCTACTCACTGCTGTTCGGCCCATTCATATAGATGCCGAACAGCATTGAGTGAATAGCCGAATGCCGCTGAGCGGCATTTCGGCGCGGCTGTTCTGCTCGGTCCCTCAGAGGGACCGAACAGAACAGAAAAATAGTTTTAAAAGTTTTAAAAAAGTAAATAGAAAATGATTGGACAGAGCTAGCAGTGACAGCTAGCTCCGCCCAACAGTTTTCTATTGTCCGGCGGTTCTGCTGCCGTAAAAAAAAAAAGAAAAAAAATATCTCCCGGGCGCTCTGGGAGCCTCCCGCTCCCGGCCGCC